CAGCTTCAAAGAATACTTTCCAGATGATAAATAGCAGCTTTAATAGGCGTGCAGGAACTTTCTGTTGTGGCAAACTTGTTAGATATTATTCTGGTAACATCATCACAGGGTTTATAAAACACTTGTATACAAAACATCAGGAAAAAAGAAAGCGCATTCTGTTATATTTCTGCACCACTGCTCAGTTAAGCACCCTTGGCTTTGCTAGTAAGGGAGTAAATTCAGTTACCTACCGATATTTCACTTTGATCCTATCATTGTCAGGGTTGCAGTAGAGTCTTTCCAGATGCTCCTGGGAATCATTGGTCACACTTTGCCAGCTCTGGGTTGCTGTCCTTCTCACTTGCCAATGATAAGGCAAGACTGTGTGATGTTTGGGACAATCATTGCCATAAACACAAGTGCCCTGCAGAAAATCCACACAGATTTCTATTCCATCTTCCTGATGGGTGTGATATTGCAGCTGGTTCAAGAGCTCAAATACCAGATCAAGAGAAGCTTCTTCACTTTTATCCTGGAATATCCCAGCACTGAATTTATTACTTGGGCTCAAATTGTATTGCATCGGACAGCTGTTCTCTTGGAATAAACCAGATGTGTAGCTTTCCAGAATCTTGTCTGGGAACAAAGGACAAGCTGCACCATCACTAGCGGTTGGGTGCGAAGGATGATCCTGGAATGATTCATTACTATTATCAGCAGCAGTTCCAGGAGTAGTTTCTGGTGAGAAGCCTTGCTCTCCTGACTGGACATCCTGCTCAGGATGCCCAGAAGAAGGACAAGCTACTGGCAACTGACTCTGCACATCTGGAGCTGCTGGCATCAGCACAGTCACATTACTTTCTGGTTGGGGACAAGAAGTACCAAGGTCCAGAGTCTTTTTCACAGCAGGTTCACATAAATCACTATGACCGCCACTTTGGCCTCGAGGCACAAAGACCCTATCCAAGGTCCCAGCTCCCAACAAACTGGTAAAGATTGGCCGCAAAGCCCGGAGAGTTTCTGTGTCCAGTCTCTTCTGCACTTGCTGCTTCTTCTTGAAGCAAGGCTTCACTGGTGGTATCTTTTCAGACAGTCTTATCTGAGGAGGAAAGTCCTCTGAAGGAGGGCACTTCATTCCTGGGCAGTGAGCCTGCTGCACAACACGCGCTGGCTTTGGTTCAGTGTCCATCGGACACAGAGTTTGCTCTCTCCAAATCACTTTCAAATGTCCCAGAGCCTCACAAGAATCAATCTAGGGCAGAAAGGAAAACAAGACAGTTAATCTCTCTAATTGCTCATGGTTGACACGAACAAGATCACCCCTGGAGAGGATTTCGAGCCAGCAACAGCAAACTCCTCCCCTCTCTGTGACTGCGGGTAGCCCCTAGGCACGTAAAGCATGAAACCAGCTAAACTCAGGCTAATTAATCCCAAACACACACTCATCGTCTTCTCACACATGAAATCTCAGAGACACTCAGGCACGCACACACAGTCCCCTGGGGGGGGGGGGGGGGGGAAAGGGGGGGGGGGGGGCAGGAAAGGGGGATGGTCTGATGCCTTCCTCCTTGTGATGATGTTTAATAATAAACAGCGCTTTAGTTCATTATATTCCACAAAAGTGAACATTGCATTGTTCATTTTTATGCCTCCCTCACACACAGACCTGAAAACAGAAGCATTAGCACACATACAGCCCTGAATGTTCCCACCACACTTAAACATTCATGCACCATTTCTTCTTCCACCAGATAAACGGGCAGATGTACACACTCCCATTCCATTCCCGTAGATCTTCCCTCACACAACCTCACACATCCACCCAGCAGCATTGTCAGAGAACTGCTGGCTTCACTTAAACGAACGGCAAACTTCATATTGACTTCAGCAGGGGCCAGGATTTAATCCTTGGGTTTTTATACACAGGAATTCGAGTGCTTACACCCTGTTCCTCCTGCTACGCATCTGACACTGACAGTCTCATACATGTCCAGACACTCCCACTTCACACACAGCCATTCTCACATGCCCACACACTCTCGCACTCTGACTCAGACGCACAGGCTGCACTCCGTCACCCTGCTGTGACACACCAAGCTCATTTCCCTCTCGCAAGGCTAGTCAACAAGAATTAAACCCGGGCAGTGAAGAAAACAAAGGGGTGCCAGTTACTCAGGAACAGAGAAAAAGTCAATTATTTGCAAGATGAAACATATATTTTTTCTAAAGTACAAATAAGTAGTATGTCTTGTATGTCACCGGAAAGCAAGCTCTATACCTTTTAATCAGGAATCTTGCAATATTTGATTACATTTAATTAAACCCTCTTCAATCTCCTTCCACATAGCCTCAAAGCTTAGAGTGGAGCACATTAAGGATTACTTCCTGGATAAATGCATTCCAAGCAAAGTAACTTCGCATGACAAAACAAAACCTCAGAAAACAGATAAAATTTGGCAGTAATTTCTTACTACTGATGATTTGCTCTGGAAAATTTCTCACCGAGTCTTCCTTACTTTGGAACATTCATTTATAAGGCTTTTGCACTACCCTGGGAAACAGCACATCAGGATTGCCAGGAAAAAGAAAAGAAGTTGTACCTCTCCGGTTGCCCTTTTTCAGATTAAATTTAAAGCAACCAGTATATTTGTTTGCCAGTTAAAACAAACTCTAAAATTATTGGTATCTCTGTTATTCCTCCACGACATACCAGGCAATTCTCTTTCTAAACCACCAAGGGTACCTTAAACCTTCAAGTAACTTCAAAGGTTTAAGAATCCTCAACTCCAAAAGGAATCAGATGCTTCATTTCACCCTGCCCAGGTTTAACAGCCCCTGTGATGTGCAAGAGGATCTCCCAGGGTTTAAGGGGTCCTGCTATGCCAAGGACCTGAATAAGTGACTTCTGGTCATTTTCAGCCATATCTTTCATGCTATTTCAATGCCGGTATTGCTTCACTTGATTATCATTTAAGTTTTGCTGCTATTTTTAAAGAACTGCCTTAGTGTATAGAGGTGAATCCCCCAAGGACTCTAAAAAATAGAAAGCAGTGGGAACGAAGAATATCAGGATCTGTTGGCATTTCTATTTCAGCATTTTACCATCCCAAACCAGTTGCTATTATTTAGAAACAACACTGAGAATCACCAAGAGCAATGCTACATTTGCACAACATATTTCAACAGAGGAAGATCCCTTGGTGGGAGATTTCAGTCCCTAAGAACTCCCCATCTCACGCGAACCACACCTCCTTTTGCTTTGCCGAAGAAAGCAAGTCTAGTAGTCCTAAAATAAATTTAAAAAAAAAAAAAATACAAGCAACAGCCCAAACACAAAACATAACAACAACAACAGCAAGCAAACCCGGACGGACAGACCTCGCAACTTTCCCCAGGTTCCCCCCGCAGCGCTCCCCCACTGAAACCTACCGGCTTTTGCTCCCCTGGAGTGAGATTGCTGCGTTTTGCCCCAATTTAAGGACCCCTTCAGAACAAGATTAGCCTTCTGGTGGGGGGGGGGAAAATCAACTGACTGCTGCAGCCAGGCGCTCGCACGCCAGTATTTCCACCTTAAAAATGCAGAAACGCCTGCGTCTCAGGTCGCACGTCCCGGGCTGTTTCTCGAGTTGCCTTGGGGGTTACCAAGAGACGGGGGCGCGGGGAGGGAGGGAGGCAGGTCGGGGGCAGCCGCAGCCCAGGCCCGGGGCGGGGGGGGGGGGGAGGGGGGCTGGGCGGGCAGCCCCATCCTGCCCGCACTGCGGGTGCTCAGCACCCTCCCTGCATCCCCAGGCTGCGCCGGCAAGAGTCCTCGCTGTCCCTGCAGCAGTACTTCCAGTACGACACCTTGCAGCAGAAACTCAAGTGCCTGGAGGAGGAGAACCAGAAGCTTCGCATGGAGGTGAGCAGAGCCGGCTGGCGGGCACCCCTCTGTGCCCTCCTCTGCCCCCCTCACTGCCGAGGGACCTGAGCCCCCCGGGGAGGCTGGAGGCCCTGGCCCCCGCGCTCAGCCCCGCCGACCCTCGCCCCCAGGCCACCAACATCGCAGCCGAGACCTGTCAGTACCAGGCACAG